TAGTAAGTATTTTATGAATACGAACAGATCCCTGTGTTTTCACTATTGCAACTTTGAAGCATGGAAAAGCTCAAACAGTTCTATCGCTTGCTCAATTTTTTTCAGAGAAGGTCCCTCCCTCATATATGAACTGCCTTGGGGCCTCTAGAATTCTCTTTCCTATGGGAATATATACAGTAACAAGAAGTGGGTACAATGGAAGGCTGTGACATAAACTGAGAATTCTTCAGGATCCAATCTGAATCACCCGGATCAGAGTTTTAGTCTTCCAACCTTTCTTGCCGGAACCCATCCTCAGGAAACTTCTTTCTCTCCAGAATGTATAATATTTATATGATGCCTGGTTGTGTGTGGCTTTTAATTGTTAATTGGGGTGTTGGTGACTGGTTATTAAGTAATTGATTGTTGTTGTACCAACTCAGATTGGATCATGCCTCATTATCTTGGGACATGTATATTTGCCTTCATTTGTGAGAATTCTTCAGCTTTTTGTCCAAATTGCTGCCAGGAAACACCATTTGAACGCCCAGAAAGACTGAAATTAAAAGAAGGCTGTGATAGTATAAGATTCATTTTTCAACAGAAATAGAGGCTGTGATACGTTACAATATTTTGATAGAAAATTCTCAGACCCTGTTATGATATTCTTATATGTTGAATCATATAAAAGAGTAGATATTGTTGGTAATCTAATTTTTTCCTAAATAAAGCATTATTGTAAATATAATGCTGCATATAAGTAAATGATTGCCTCAGCAAAGCAGGTGACATTAAAAGACTCTTTCCCTTTTTGCTTTGACTTTTACTGTTCAGTTTTGTAGTGTTTGGAAATCATTGGTGTTGGATATGTTATTTTTAGTGTAATATTTATTTTTAATATTTTATATATTCTTAAACTGGCTTGTTGCTCTTTTTGTATACCACCTAGAATCTGAGGCAGTTTTTAAAAAATGATAAATAAATAAAAACTTCAGTCTCAAGCTATCTGATGAGGCAGAAGCAGTTTTAGAATGCTTGGAATAGTTTTTCTCATCATATTTAGTCTTTGTGCTATTCTTTCCCTTTAGGCAACTCCTGAGAAGTCTCCTATTAATGACCCAGCCATCATAATGTATTCAGCTGCTGCTCCGCACCTGTTTGCTCCATTTTCAAATGTTAATGACAATTACTCCTTACCTTCCAAAGTTAAAACTCACACTGGCAATAAAGATCCAGAGCCTCCTTCAGATAAAGACACTGGAGAACTGCCTTCTGAATGCAGACAAAGCTCACTTTCTGATAAAGTATGCTTGCCTCAATCACTAGGAAATTCAGGAAGTCAATTTCTCCACACCATTCTAGAGGAACCAGCAGGCGCTGCAGAATTGGACAATGCTACAATTCTAAACAAGCCAATTCTCGGAAAGCTATCTGAAAATATCATTAACCAACTTAGAATTATATTTCCATACCATACAAGGTGTGTCTATGCTAGAAAAAAAAATGGGTAGCTCACACTTTAGTTAAAAATCATGTCTCTCGTGTGTGTGTATGTGTGTGTGTGTGTGTGTGTGTAAAATCTAGTTCAGTGGTTCTCAATCTTTTTAATGCCGCGACCCCCAACCGGTCATAAGTCAAGGACTACTCAACTGGTCATAAGTCGAGGACTACTCAACTGGTGCAGCACCATTTGCAGAATGGGACTTTTGGCGGGTTCAGCAGGGCAGAGACAGCCTGGACAATTCCTACTGGCTTTTGAAAGCCAATAGAATTAGACTCTATTCAAGAGAGTCTATTCTATTGGCTTTCAAAAGCCAATAGAATAAAAGGGAGTAGCACAGCTAAGGAAAAGGGGGGAAAAATGGCGGACTGCGTTGTTTGGCGACTCCCGTGAAATGGTCGTTCAACCCCAAACGGGGTCCCAACCCATAGGTTGAGAACCACTGATCTAGTTAGAATTGTATAATGTATAATTTAAATATACTCTGGCACAAATCTTTAGAAATGATTATTTTTGCTTTTCCTAATATGATTTAAAGTTAGAGAAAATTTGAAATGGCTCTTGTCATTATCTTAAATAATTTTTAATATCTAATATCTAATAATAAGTAATATTTAATATCTAATAATAAGTAATTTTTAATATCTGCAATTATGGTTCAGTTTGGGCACTAAGTTCAAGACTTGGTGACAATGCTTTCTGTACCATGCTGCTTATTACCATTTTTCTATTTTTTTTCTTAATTTTTTCTTAATTTGGTTGGCAGGAATTGAGTTAACTCATTTCAGCATTCTATTATGCTTTAATTCAGATTTCTCTACTCTATTCATTTATTTTTATTTTTATTCTTAGGATCATTTTTTTTAAAAGTAACAGTATAATAAATCATTATTATATATAGAGTTCTTTGCCTGGGGTTCAGTTATATGTGACCCCATTGCATAAATTCTTCTGAAACAGGAGTGGGAAATAAATATTCATGGGATGTGTTGTAACACAACATAGTTATCTTAAATTCAGAGTGGAATCTTTGTTTTATCCAAAGACCTGTGAAAAATAAGGTGGATGTCTTAAGTTTTCATTGTTTCTAGGATGCTTTAAAGTGAAGAAGAAATAGTAAGTGGCTATTTTAAAATATATACATTCTTCAGGATGCTAATAGGGACAGGGCACAAAATGCAATTCAGTTTTAGATAGTCATGTTTTCTAAAATATACCATATTGTAGACAGTATTTATCTTCTTGCAAAATATATGAATACCTGTGTTTCTTTTCTCCTGCAGTTCAGATTTAGAAAATTTTATAAAAGAAGTCAATATCAAGAACAGAAACAAGTTGAGCACAGATGCATACCTAAACAGGTTAACTGAATTTATCTTGGATCATCCAAACACAAAAAAGGTAATTTGCAGGAAATGTTTATGTAGCTACCAAGAAACCCCCATATAATACATAGGATACACTATGGTATATATGCTATTGGTAATTGCTATTGATAAATTCACAAAAGAAAATCTTAATGGACTCAACACGGTGATCATGTGACCCCAGGACACTGCAATCGTCATAAATATGAACCAGTTCCCAAGCATCTGAATTTTGATCATGTGACCATAGAGATGTTTGCAGTGGTCATGTGTGAAAAACGGTCATAAGTCACTTTTTTCAATCCTGTTGTAACTTTGAATTGTAATTAAATGAACTGTTATAAATTGAGGATTACAAGTATAGGTTTTTCATTTTATTTCATTTTTATTTGGTATTCAATATGCGTCCCATTATCAAAGGGATTTTTTTTTTTTTTTTTTTTGCTTAGAGACCAAGATTTGTCTCGGTATTATTTTGGAATGCTTATTACTGATATGTTCTGTTTTGTTTGCTTTGTGTTCTTGCCTCAAATAATCATTTGTTTTAATTCATATATTTGTCAACTACCTAAACAGTGCAAAAATAAAATATAAATTAAGAAGGTATTACTAATACTTTTCCATTATGTTTTTAAAGGTTCTTTCCTCTTCTGGAAAAAATGAAAAGTTATCCTCTTGTACTTCTGGAAAAAATGGAAGTCATACTCAAAAAGTATTAAACACATTGGTACAAAGCAAACCAAAGTCTAAAGCTGCTAATGAAAAGAAAAATAAAACTAACTTTCCACCTCAGTCAAATCAGATGCCATGGAAAAAAATCGGTGAAACTTCAAAATCAAAGTGGAAAAAATCAAATGATGCCCCTGTAGGTTTTCTATGAAAACTGTGGTTTTGATAAATCACTTCAATAATTTCAATGCAGGAATGTCATACATATTCTTTCTAAAGCCATTTTAAAATTTTAAACATAGGCTTTTTTTTTTTCAAGGTTTTAGAATAGTTTTCAAAATGTAGGCAGTGTTTAATATCATAGAAATCAGAGAATGGGCTAAATTGATCAGTTTTGAAAATCCAGATTTTTTTTCCAAGAGCTGAATAGAATAAAAATGAACAGTGTTCCATACCAATATGGTATGGTAGGTTCCAAAATCTTAAGATTGGAATTGAACTTTTCTCAAAAGTTTTGTCAGGTGGAAGTAATCAGAAATAGGAGTTTAGTTCAAAGTATTTCCATTTTTTTACATGCTGCCCATACACAAGAATGTGATCTAATGGTCAAGGCAAATTGGTGCTAGATAAGAGTCAGTGGAATTCAAGAGGGGCTGGACTTGGGTCTCTTGTGGGAACATAGCAATTCTAAACTGATGACACATTTGATCCCTCCCTCGTCATCTCATACAAGTTTAATAAAAAAACTGCTGAAAGTAGTGATAGCACTATTTTTTCACAACTAAGTTATTAGAAAAACAATATGTTGCACAAAAGATAATTTTCCATGAATGGGGGGGGCGCATATAATTGTGAAGGGTATAGTCTTCATCGGTTCCCTGAACCTGTGTCTTTTCCTATGCTTTTCCATGAGCAGAATTCACTTATGGAGCTCTGGATGCAATATTTTTTTCTAATCCATTGACGCTGAATACATTGGATTAAAATATTTATTCTAGAAGTAAATAAATTTTGCAAAGCTGCATGGCTTAGAATGATACATTTTTATTTTGATGCTGCTAAACTAAATTTCTGTTTAAAAGGTACATTTTATTGAGTTAAACAGCCCATTTGGTTCAGTACTTTCTGAATCAGCTGCTTTCAGGATATTACACACCAACTTAAATCTGTCACTTTAATAGATCACAGAGATGTTTATGTATGTAAAATATTACATATAACCATTAGTTTTTGGAATTCTTCTGAGAGTCTGTATTTATTTTACTTTAATGCATAGTGAGTCAATAATTTTTGAAGTAGTTTTGAAATGACAAATGCATTTTTCTATAGGATAATGATCCATGTGTAATATGTCATGAAGAGCTAACTTCAAATCTATTACATGTTCTGGATTGTGGACATAGATTTCACAAACTGGTAAGTGAATTATCAGTAGACATTTTTATTTGTTTCTTGTGACTTTGTAAATGATTGGAGAATTGCTGCAGTGTTGCACCACATTTTTAATATAATCTTTGCAATATATACTTGGGGAATTTAGTCTTAGTGAGCAAAAACACAAATTATATTGTGGAAGTCTAAATTATCTTGGTTTCCAGGACCAGTCTTTCAGTACTCAGGCTGATATATATAATATAAAAAATAAGCTTCTTACAAATTCAAAGTATGTTTAATGTGACCTACATTACTTAGGAAATGAGTTTTCCAATCTCAAAAATAGATAAGACCATAATCATATCGAAATACAATACTTCCGTAGCAGTTTTTATTATTGTAGTTGTGCTTTTAGATAGCTACAATGTTGCTTTTCCTCAGGATAGGAAGATCAACATGTTGACTTTCACATATCAGCACCAAAAAATATGAGCAGATAAAGGCATTTATGATGGAACTTTTCTGTATCATTTCTTCAAGGACTCTACAATATAATATCCTCCACTTTTCTTGAGATCCCACAATTCCCAGGAGTAGAGTAGAAATGATTTTGGAAAGCCTCATCAGCAGAAACTTACAGAATACGTTTCTTAAACTAGTAAATCCTTGACATTTCTCGAGGAAATACAATTTTTTCTTTTCTTCCGGAGCCCTTTGTCAGTGATATTCTTCATCTTCCCTAAAAATGGGGATGTTGGAGACTTGATGATAGTAATTTAAAATGACCAGTCCAGAGCTGGCCCCTTAAGAAAAGATTGCTTCCCCCCCCCCATATCAGCTAAGAAGAATAGCAATTTATCTGGAAGTAGCAGGCAAAGCAGCCCACAGGGTGAAAATTCAGAGGTTTAAACCAAGAAACTGCAACTGTGAAACATGTAGTTGGTGCTAGAAACTTTTTGAATATAGTTTCAAAAGTATCACCAAAATGATACATGCAATTTGGAGAACCGCGAGATTTCAGAAGGCTTCAGAAAGCTTCTGAAGCATTTTGAGAACTGCACATTATTTGGAAGATGGTGCAAATTACCTCAGAAAGAAAGTCTAGCGTGATTAGCAGCTTCCTCATATAGACCCAGGCCCACTGCTGCCCACTTTGTCAGCAGTGGAAGAGAGCAAAGCAGCATGAAGAGCCTGCAGGGCAGTAGCTGAGGCTTGGCATTGTGCTGGTGTGGCTGGCCAAGGCACAGGGCATGAGGTGGCAGTGCTGCTGAGTCTAAAGTAAAAGCTGGGGTGGGTGGCAACTAGCTGAGACTGCTGAAGGCCCTGGGCCTCTATTTCAGTTCCAACACTAGTGCTGCTGTCCAGGGCAGCCAAAAGAGATGTGGAAAGTTAAGGCACCCCTGTGGGCTGCTAGGCACTCAAATTTTTTTCATATGATTTAATAATATATTAAAAATATAGCCATATATAGAATAGAATAGAATAGAACAGAACAGAAGCTGGAAGGGACATTGGAGGTCTTCTAGTCCAGACCCCTGTTCAAGCAGGAGAACCTATATCATCTCAGACAGGTGAATATTTTTTTTAATGAAATATGTGTACAATCTTTTTATATCTTATATAGTGTATTGGTCCATGGATTAAGGAGCACAGTACATGTCCAACATGTCGACGTCACATACTTTTGCGAGAAGATTATCCTGAGCTTCCTGGACGAAACAAAAAAACATAAAATAATGCAATATACTGATTAGCAAGAATGATATTCAGATTATTTTAAAATCATGATAATAAAATTATATATGAATTTTGTTCCAGTTATTTCCAAAATATTGTATATTAAACTATCCCTTTGTAGCTTGAGGAAAATATTTACATGATACTAGTTCCACCATTTCCAATGAGTTAAGGTACACGATGCAACATTATATATCCTATATTGTTAATCTGTGTCTACACTTTTGGCAGAAATATGTAATTTATATATCTGTATTAGCTATTTTTACTGTATCACAGTAGAGCAGTTCAAAAAGTTAACAAAATATATCTCAGATGTTGTCTCGTTAAATAAAGAATATTAATAAAATTGTAGAGTACAGATTTGTCTAGTTTTTCTTGCTCGCTTATAAAACATTAGTCCTTTACTTTGGATTGGTTATTAATGAGCAATGTTATTCAGTACATTTGGAGCCTGATTCTTTTTGATTTTCAAATAACCTTTTTAAAAAGTAATCTAGTTCACAAATTGTTTTAGAATATAATCAATAAACTATGATTTTAAGTCAGTGTTTAATTAGATGTGTGAATGTGCTAGAAGAAGTAACAATTCCATATGGGCCTTCCAATTTATCAAACAAATTTTCTTGCAAAAACAGATTAATCTGCCTTTATGTTCTTGTTAACTTGGTTTTAACTATAAAACCAGAGAAGAATGCTTGAAATTTAAGTAAAAATATTTATGTAAGAATAGTAGAATTTGGGCAGTGCTATGAAGGGGAGTCTGATCTTTTTAACACTTCAGACTATGTTCCCACATCTGGAATTCTTGATGCCCTCTGAGCTTGGCTGTTTGCTTGCAGATGTTTCATTACCCAAGTAGATAACTTAACCAGTGCTAGTGTGAGGTTTCTCCCTATTTTTATACTTCATTAGGGTATTGTTTTCTGCTTGATTGTTTAGCTGGTATTAATCGCTGCTTATCTGGGTGTTGACTGCTTGAGAGGATCTGTTTTTGTTTTTGTTTTTTTGTTTTCTTCTTAGCTTTCTTATTGCCTCTTTTGAATGATGTGTAAATGTGCTCTAAGTCTTAACTATGATTGAGTCTGCCATGTGTTGTGAGATTTGGGAGTTTTCATTGTGTCTTCTGACTTCTACTTTGTGTTCATGGATGTACTCTGCTAGTTTTCTGCCAATTATCCCAAATAGTAGCTGTTCTTACATGTATATTGTGGATGACTCAAACAATATATAACATTGTATATTGTAGAAGCTTATAAATGATGCTGGCTTTACATTGATCTGTTGGAAAGGCTGACCAATATTATTCTATGTGGGGTAGTTTTAATGCCATGCTTAAGAACTAATCAGATGTTTCTTAAGTTCTATTTATTCGTGCTTTATTTGTGCATTTTTTTTCTTTATATATTAATAAAAATGAAACCGAAGACAACTAAGATGTGGATAACTGATCAAATCTAATTCTATTGTAAGCAATGTGCCAGTTGTGATTGTGCAAATGTGTTCTATACTACAACTACCATATTAGGAATTCATGGCTAAGGACCAAAAAGCATTTCCTGGCTACAGATCTGCTTGTCAGGAGAGTACCAACCCCATTTAAAAGAAATTGAAGCTCAATCTCTGACGTGGTTTCATATTGACCAAAAGCAGTCCCATCTTGTCTGCAAATAATGTTAAGCTTCAGTTCTTCATCAAGTTTAGGCAATATTGAGATGTAGACCTTTCTTGGAACTGAAGAAGAAGAAGCACCATGTGTTAATGGTATCTTACTTCAAGTTTCCAAAGGTATTTCAGTATAGTGAACAGCATGGAGGATAAAATGGATCCTTGTGAGAAGATATCATAGGTCATTTGCATAAAACTGAAATTATCTAACAAAAAGGACCAGAAATGGAAAGCCTAAATCTGCCTGACAGTCCAGAAATAACGATATTGATAGCTTCTAAAGGAAAACTGATAGGCTACTCTCATTGTGTAGTGCCCAGCAGAGGTTGTCCAGCAAGGTGACCAAAACAATTACAGATCCATATCTAGAACTTGGTTTATTTTCACTTGATTTGTTTCCAAATTATTGAACAATGTTTTTCCCTGCCTCTCCCCCACCTCCAACACTATGACTTCAATGGTCCTTTGATGACTAACATTTAGGAGCACCTCTGAATAAGGCTGTATTACTGGTACTTAGTGCCTGCAATGCCATTTCGTTTGATGACCAACAAATGGACCAACAAATAGTTGTAAAGCAAACCTAATCACATTCTGCAGAGTTTCAATGGAAAATTCTCTGTGATTAAGTGATCATCATGCAAGAGGACAACGATGTTAACTTCAAATTCTGTGAGAAAAAGAAAAAAATATTCTGGAATTAGCACAGATTATTAGGTCTACCATCTGGAGTACCTGGAGCATAAATAAAGTTACTAGTATAGCAAAGCATAAAACAGTATATATTTAAAATAATAATAACATAAAATAATATGTCCTAAAATATTATTCTAAAATATACCTAGCAATCCAAGCTTTTGCTTTTGCTTAAACTAAACTCATGTTGGGAAAGGGGGTACAACACTAATGTAAAACTTTATTTGAATAATCATAATAATTATATTGGAGCTTGAAAGCACTGCTTTTCTATAACAGAATCTGCTTTTAAACAGTTTTCCTACAGGGATCAAAAGTTTCTTCATCTTAATTTCATTTTGGAAATCACTTCAAAGCTGAACTCTGTACAATATTTCTGACTGAGCAAAAACCATTTATATTTATATGTTGCTATTGATGTACTGATATCCTGTAATTTAATATATTGTTTGTTTTATATTGTTTTAATCATAGATGTTCTTGTTGTTTTGTTTGCTGTGCATATTTTATATTAAGCATATGTTAGGAGATGAACTGAATTCAGTGGATACAAGACGTATCAATCAACCACAGGCCTTTATAAAAATTTGTGGAAGAATCACATTTGAAATACCTTTATACTATAATTATGATCACTATAATTCCAGAAAATTGTCAAGAAAAGAAAGGCGATACAATACAATCAAGTGCCTGGACAGCACTACTATAAAGAAAGTTAATGAAATCGCAGTTTGTTTTTATTTCTGAGAAAAGTCCAAGTAAAGGAAAACACGATGGAGTTATGTACAGCTGATAATCCTATCAATGGGTTTTTGTTCTACATGCTTGGTGACTACAATGGAAATAAAGCATTAGACAAAGTCCTGTTTCTATGGTTTAACAGTTTAAAATGCAGTTCTTACCAACTTTGAAGTTTGTAGTTTCCAGTGTAGGACATGTAAACAATCTTGGAAAGACCATGTAGATTGGAATAGGAAGATTTCTGCAGACATCGCCATCAGCAATCTGAATGTTCTGAATCTCAGTGGCATCTCTAGCATAACCTTCAGCACAGCCTTTGTAAAATTGAGATACAAGCGGCATTTAGAGCCCCCAACTTACTAAATAATACATTATAATGCTGGCAGGTTTAATAATTAAACATTCATCATCAAGATCTCTCTGAGTCACTCATATAGGTTTGGTGCCTTTGAGGAGCTGTTCCAAATCATTCTAGAGCTGCAGGAGGAACTTCAAACATGAAATGTATTAAAAGTTAATACAGTTAATTTAGTATTACACAGATCTGGAACATTCATTTCAATTTTCTGGAGATGGCTTCACTTTGGAATTAATAAAAACTACATCAAAGCTTCAGTTATTTTTATATGAGATTGGTAACTGCCAAATAAACTCCACTAGTTTGTTACTAATATATACCATTATCCCAACTGGAAACATCTGGATGTGGATGAGGGCCCAACTATCCTCTAGTGTCTGTCCAACTATCTAGAATGACAGAAGCATTTGACAGTCACAACTCAAGAACAAACTTCTGACTCTGTTCTCCAACCCCAATTTATGCACTGGCAGACATAAAGACATACCACAGGTTTCCACTCGTACCAACTGGAGTTCAATGCTTTTAACAGCAGCATCTGAATTCACCACTATCAGCTCCCCTGTTAGAGGTTGTGTTATGATGCAGTTTGTTGAATTGAGATGACCTCTTATGAGAAATTTTGGAAGCAGTGCTCTCTAAAGGCAGAGAGAGAGAGAGAGAGAGAGATATGTAATTTATATATGGTAATTGAATGTACAAATTTTGTTCTTTTCACATATTTTCATTTTATAGCATGGCTATTTGTCTCTTATTCTTAGTTCAGAGCGGAAGAGAAAAGAAATTACGTTTTGCTCTTATCCCTTATCTTCTTATCCCATTCAATATCTTTTCTTCAAAACAGAAGTGAAATATATGTAAGCACAGGTACTTTTCTAAAATATGTTTAATGTGACATGAAGTTAACGCCTCAGACATTAAATCTGTAGGCATAGTTAATTGAACTATAATATACAGAAAACTAGGCACTTCATAAAGAATGGGTTGGATCCATACTTAGTCATCTTCACAGCATATCTACTGAAATCAGTGAAAACTAAATTATCATAAGATGCAAAATATTTAAGATTAATCCCCTATAAAAGCCTTATATAAAGAAAGGGTACATTCCTCACTGCAAATGAAGAGAATGTTAATGGCCCATTCCAGGAAACCTCCCAATGTCTTCTTCAGGAGTCTCAACAACATATAAAGGATATGAGCAAAGGCCTGTTTCCCAAAGCAAAGATCCATTTCAAGCTGTCAGGAACCCTTTGAAAAGCAGCTCCTTTGGGATTTTCTCCCGAGCAGTGATGGCTTTTATTAAGTGCTGGCTCTATCAAACCTAGTTTTGCTTAACTGATTTTTTCCCACACTGAGAAAGACCTATTTCACACACACACACACACACACATCCCATCACTTGGAAAATTAGACGGATTTAAATCCTTTAATAAAAATATTTTCTTCCCTCACTTCATATGCTCCTATCCTTCCTCCAGCTATTTCTATACAATGATGGTTTGTGCAAATCATGGTTTGGCCAACTCAGATACAATGGCAAGTTACATTTTGCCACTAAATCAAAAATGGAAGAAAATTGGAGCATGCAAACAAAGCACATGGGCACAAAATTCTTTCATATGGTTTCAATGTTTGGCCCTGTTCCACTGCTCTGGAAACATTTTTTGTTTTGTTTTTCTTTTTGTGCTTCAAGTTAATATGGATTCCTTGCAACTATCTAGACAAGTCCCTGCAGTTTTCTGGCAAGGTTTTTGGAAATGGTTTGCCATTGGCTCTTTTCTAGGGCTGAGAAAAAATGACTGGCCTAATACCACCCAGTTGCTTTCATGCCCAAGGTGGAACTAGAACTCAGTGTCTAGTCTGTTGCCTTTAACCACTACAGCAAACTGGTTCTCTAAAATGGTTCTTACCTCTTTCACATTCTGTAGTGTTTCAGGAGTAATAGTAAAGTCTACAGGGCTTGGAGTTGGCTTACCTTTCTGAGGCTACAAAAGAATAAAAAGAAAATTCAGAACTAAATCTAGTAGTCATTTATTAGTTTGAGAAAGTGCATATTTGAACTCATATACTTTATGCGTTAGAAGAGCTAGAATAAGTCACTACTAGAATAGTCTTGGCAAGAGGTTAATCAAGTTTCACGTGGATATACTATCTGAAGCATGCTCTAATCAAGCTAAAAAGTAACATCTAAAACAATCTAATGATAATGAAAAGCAAACTCATATTATAACATATTATAACCAAGGCCAGGCTAGTATTTTAGGGCACTGAGTGTAGCATCAACTATACCACTGATGGCGAACCTTTTAGAGACCGTGCCCAAAAACCGCCTCGCCCCTGCCCCACCCCGGCCTCTCCTGCCCGCAGGGCCATCCACCACCACCACAGCCTGCCACAGCAGATCACCCAGGCAGACCAACAGTGTCATGGTGGCCATGCATTCTGTCCGCGCCCTGTAGCATCATCTGTATGTGATGAGGTGCGAGGGCGGAGTCTTGTTCCCGCTGCCCATCTGTCATGTCCTTGGCTGCACTGCTCTGTGCAGGCTACGCCTGGGGTGACTTTCCTCCGGGGGGGGCTGCTGGTGAGGAGGGGGCCACGGGGAGTGGTGGGTGGTGCCATAGGTTCGTCACCAATGAATTATACCTACAGTATGATATTATACTGTGAGCTCATTATTAAGCTCAAATTCCTATTCTTGTTTTATTTATCAGATTTATGTTCTGCTTTTCATTCAGGAGCTTTGAGTGACTGGCTCGAAGTTATTTTGCAAGTTTCTATGACACTGTGGCTTAGAATCTGGGTCTCTGCTCTTAGTTCAATATTTCCCTTACAGTACACTGGCTACTGCTGGACCTATGTAGAATTTCTCTACTTCCTTCTTCAAATGTATGTGTACATGAACATTTATATATAATTTTAAGTCATGAAAACACTGATAGAAAAGTAGTAATTATGTTGCCTGCTATAAGGAATACATGCTTGTTGAACAAAGTACTAATAGGTATGTAAACCTTGTATTTTTTCTCTAAAAGTAAGTTGATTGAAGTCAGAATGGGATATTTTTTTTAAAAAAAAAAGTATGATGAAGCAAGAAGAGATAAAGTTAAAAATGAATGAATGTGAATGATCATAGATGACCTTGGATACCAAACATGATTGATATGAAAGAAATACACTGATGTGGCTTAATCATATAGACCAGAGGTGTCAAATTTCCAGCCTGCAAACCGGACGCGTCACGAGGAAACCACGTCCACCCCATTGCCAGCAATGGGGAAAAAGTTCCGATACGTCGCACGACATCATGTGATGTCGCGAGTTTGACATGTCTGATATAGACAATGAATTAGCATCAAATTGTGAAACAGCTGTATGAAAAAAGAATGGATGGGAAGACTAAGAATGTCATGACTGAATGCAGTTATTGAGATCCTGAAGAGATCTTCACTGTCAGGATTAAGAATGGGAGGCATGGTATTACATTGGTTCTCTCGGTTCCTCTGCAGCTGGTTTCCAGTTGGTGTTGATGGGGGTGGTAGTGCTTGAGCCTGAGGCATGACTTGTGGGGTACTATAGGTTTTAATGCTTTTATCCTTTCTACTTAACATCTACATGAAGCACCTAGGTAAAGTAATCTGTCAAAACAGGTATTATCAGCATGCAGGTAATACCCAGTTGTGTACTTCAACTCTGCCACTGCTGTTAAGGTCTTGTCTCTGTGCCTGAAGACTGCTGGGGTCTGGATAAGTAGGAACAGATCTGATTTACCATTGACAAGACCAAGTGGTTGTGTTTCTTGGTTCTTCTAGTTCTAGTTCTTTCACCTTTAGTTGTGAATGCACTCCCCCACACAGAGCTGGTGTGCAGGATGCAACTGTGACCAGGAAAGCTTTAACAGCTTCATCTGGCGTTCTGTGCCCCTTCCTACACAGAGTCTCTTCTCGTAGTTACTCATGTTTTAGTCACTTTGGGTAAGAACTACTGCAATCTGGTCTATATGAGACTGTGTTTAAAGACAACTCAGAAGCTGTAGCTTGTGCAGAATGTAGCAGCATGGGCTGTTATGGTTATGCTATATAAGCTGATGAAATATCTCTGTTATCCAAGTTTCATTAATTAGTTTTCTATTGTTTGTGCCCACCTCTTAAGATTTGAGAGAGTGGACATGCTCCCATCTTTAAAGCAATGCCATGACCCAGGAAGTATGCTGTATCCTTTTATCAAAATTGTCCAAATTACCCATACGTTTAACTCATCTTTGGCACAAAGCCCTAGCCTAAATTCTTAGAAAATTTAACATCACATAAATTCTGGAAAATGCAGGAAAACATGAACTATGTTGCATTGGTACCTGAACCAAGGAGCTCAAGCTTTTGCATACATATGAGTTTCATTCTGCAGAGAAAAAAATAGCTATACTCTAGATCTGCTTAACTGCATTAAGTTCATATGCTCCTCTGGGACTTTTCTATACAGTCCAACTACAACAAAAGGAATATATTCACAAGTGTCTAGCAATTAATTCCTAAAAGCAAACTTACTGGTGAATGGACAATAAATTCGCAAGATTTTGTCAAATCCTTGGCCAGGAGAGAACGTCGCATATCACATCGAAGAGTATACTATACAAATATGCAAAACAGAAAGGTTATTATCCTCCTCATGAAATAAAAAAATAATTTTTTTATTACAAATTACTTTAAATTTTGTAAATTAGTATTTTATTTATTTGTACTAAAATTTGTATCTACATTGGAAATCCTGCCTAGAAATGCATTATTTCAAAATGTTTGTAGTTTAAAGTAAGATATTTTCTAAAAATCTTCCAGTTCAAAAAAATTTTGGGCATATTGCTGAAAATCAAATCCAATGAAAACAGGAATTAAAAACACAGCAAATATAGGATTTCAATCATCTTTTGCTCAATTCAATTATCATCTCCCTAAAACTATAGTAATAATAAAGGCACGATTAGAAATAAAAAATATTGCAAGGAAGAAGAAGGGTAAGCATAGTGTTTTTCGTAAGGCTATGTTAATATCTTGGATAAATTTGAATAATCTGCAAATAGTTTTGAGACACAAATTTTTGCAGTAAAATCATTAGCTCAAAGGAAGCTTCCATCATAAATCGCAGTGAGTTTTGTTAGTTAAAACTTCCATATGTTTAACCAATAAAAATATAGTAGATTAGACACTGAGCCATATCAATTCTGAATTAAAACTTTTGCCAGAGAACTTCTGTTATGCTATACTGTAGCTTACAGGAAGAAACTTCCTTTGTAGAGGTCTGAGCTTACATTAGGTAAGATGAATCTCATTTAAAAAAAAATCAGATTGTATAAGAAGTCTGTACATTTCTATGAAGAACCTCCTCTTCAGTATTTTTCTGATTTGCTCGGATCTTTAATTTGCTTCATTTTAAATAATGGAAATATGAAGAAAGTATTTGAAGCTGCAGCTTTTTGTAGTTCTTTGGGGATTCTTTAAACCTAAATAAACCAAAGAACTCACGCCATCAGACAACTCTTTCTTTCATTCTTTTAATGGCATGAATTTCCTTGGCCTAATCTTTAAAAAAATTAAAGCAATTGTGTGCAAACACCATAAAGAACAAAGTTTTCTTAGACTATCATCTATTCTCACCTGGATATTGACAAAAACTCCATGGTAAGTTTCATAAAGAATTTTGCCTCCTTTTACTTGCAGTGGGAACTCAAAAGGAATTTCTGTTTTACCACTAGGCAGTTTTCCAGATTTTACCATTTCTACTGTGTTAGTAATCAGCTGAATAGGCTGCAAAAACAAACAAAAAATTAGAAAGACTAAATGTTAATTGTCCTTCATTTTTGGTTGCAAGCAAAAAGCTTATGGATTTCTGAAAATGCACATTTTTAAGGGTATTTTAAGAAATAGAGCAGCAATCCTGTCCATTCGGGTTGAACTCTTTGAGGTTACAGAGGAACAGCGCAGACTCATTTGCAAACAATGCTAGACACTGTCTACACATTACATTAAATTCGGCACAGACATTCTATATTCTTATATGCTCTACTGAGTGGGGAGAAGTTTTCTGCTTTCACCTGCTCTGGTCATCACTTCCTCCCTTTCATACATACAGTAAGAGACAAGAATAGATAGCAGAGAGCCTCCTGTATCTATGAAGCTTTCCAAATGGTGTGTGGTATATGTATGCATGTGTTATGTGTGTACACACATATATACATATATACACACCCTGCTCAGGTAGCTTATAAATTTAAAAGATACACACATGCATATATACAATCTTTTTCATTTGTACATAACTGCTTTCAAAAATAATAAAAATAAAAAGGCTTATGTTACATCTGAAATAATCTGCATAATCTAATTGAAAAATTAAGACATGCCCACTGCTCAAAATTCTCAAGATCCAGTTAAAATGTAGCTACTGTCCACCCTTCCATTTCAATATTTATGACTAGTCAGATCAAGACTGCATTTCCTATCATATAAAATGAAAAAGTATTTTTCCCTCTTCTGAATAGTTATTTCTTTAATTTAATTTAACTACTAAACTTTTAAATCTTACCTGGGGGAAATCTAATAAATGTTTATAAAACACATTAAAAGAAAATAAAAAGAAATTAAACAGCTATTTTACATGGTTACTAACAGAAGGTATAACACTATTTTTAGGAATTAAATATTATCTTTTGTGGTGAAAGAATCTCAAATAATGGACAATGTTTTAAATGCAGGGAAGTTTGTTGTATAGTCACCATCCAGCTCATTGTTTTTTCCTATACTCTTTCTACCTATTTCATTAACTGCGATCTACTAAGATAACATGAAGCAATTGTTTTGGAAAAGAATCTTACTTATTCATTACAGGCAACTTACTAGTCTCAGATAGACTACAACATTTATGCTTACTACTGACAGGCAAAAACCATAAAGCTCAACTTATAGAGTTTTGCTGTATATAACTATTAAACTAATTCATCTGTACCAAGAAATTAAGCTACTCTATTATGAAATAAGCCCAGATAGTAAATCAGCTGTAATTAAATTTGTTGGCTTATTCCAACCCCCCCCCCCCAACTATAACCTATTTCAGAAAAATGTAAAATTCTCGTGTCAGAAATACAGGAAAGGGGGAAAATTATTAATTTAAATGTAAAAAGATTTAAAAACTTTTATAATAAAAGCATAGATTTATATGTGGCCACGTTGATGAAAGGGATATTTGCAAGCAGCAAGTCATTATGTGTGCATGTTGATCCCAGGAGGTAGTGTAAATGATGGATAGCTTTTTGAATAGTGCCACATCTGCAATAAATATTCTTGTCCTCTGGGAGAAACCCCCATTTTTCCAAGTGGTCTTTAGTTCTAGCCAAATCAGTGGACAATCTACGGTATTTAAACATCTCCACACTGTGCTGATAATGGAAGTATATGGTTTTGATATTGGAAACAGCAAACAGAAGCATGTAAAAAAGAAAGTATACTTTATGCTTTGTTTCAATGGATATGCTCATCCCAACATATTCACTGGCCAAAACACAAGATACTGTATAGAAATGCAACATGCAAGAAATATTAATAATAGTAAAAAAAAAACAACCCAAGTACCTAGGAAGTATTTTTTTGAAACTTTATTAAATTTATATGTCCTCCCCCTGCCCCCCACATAAAATGACTCTGGGAGGCCTTCAATAAAACCCACTGTTAAAACCAAACATATTTAAAACCAATTAAATAATTAACATAAGTTAAAAACAAGATTGTGAAAGGTGTCATATATGGTGCTGTAGGGGATGACCAGACCTGATTTAAAAAACACACTCTGAAGGCTTTCCAAAATGCCATAAGGGTTGGGGCTAACCTCACCTCAGGGAGAATGATGTTCTAGACTAGAGAGTGGGTGCCATAGCAGAAAAGACTCATTTCCTGGGTCCCATCAGCTGTAATGCCTTAGCAGCTGTGACATGCAACATGCCTCTCCTGCTGATTCTGATGGGGTGGGTAGAAAAAATCAGGGAGACATGATCTTTTAGATAACCTCACCCCATGCTGTGGAGGGCTTTCAAACCAGCAAATCAATAACCAATACAACTCATGGAGCAGAGGTGTAACAGTGTCCTAGGAAGATCCAAAACTTCCCATGCTACTATATTTTGCACAAGCTGAAGCTTCCAGATACTGTTCAAAGGCAATCTGATATAAAGTCCACTGGGAGATTATCAGGTGTAACTGTGAGTACAGCTTCATGATCTAGGAATAGGCACATTTGCCACACAACACAAGGTTGCATAATGGCTCTCCTGGCCATGATTGCATCTCCTCCTTGAGCAGGAGTCAAGTCAAGAAGGACACCCCAGATTGCAGACAAGGTCAGTTTGGAGCAGTGCAATTTCACTCAGTGGCAGAAATGGTAAAGTCCCCAAATCCAAAGGCTCTAAAACATAAAGCCACTCATTCTTTCTTGCCAGGGTTCAGTTTAAGCCTGTTGCTCCCCAACCAGCTTCCAGACATCAGGTCAGGACATCAAAAGCATCACTTAGTTTGTCAGAAGCAGAGATACAGTTGATTATCATCAGCATGCTAATAATATCTCCCATAGTGACAAATGATTTCTCCCAGCGGTTTCATATAAATGTTCAACAGGAGAGGAGAGAGCACAAAGCTCTGTGGCATCCCACACAGTAGGGGATGAGGGTGGGATCTCTCACCAATAAGCAACACCGACTGCTACTGGCGCCATAAGAAGGAAATGAACCAGCACAATATGATGCCGCAAATTCCCAATTCCTAATACCAATCCAGGAGGATACCATGGTCAATGTTACTGAAAGCGACCAAGAGGTCAATGACACCCAATATGGATGTACTATCCCCATTCTGCTCCTGAATGCTGATTGAAAGGGATCCAAATAATATGCTTCATCCAGGGTCTGTGGAAGCTGCTGTGCAATCACTTTCTCCACTTCCCTAAAAAGGGAAGGTTGGATACTGGTCAAAAGTTGTGCGGTATGGTGGGATCCAGTAATGGTCTCTTGAGGAATGGGGGAAGGGTATGAACCAACAGCTCTGTAAGAGATAAAGGAACAACCTCTCTTTCAAGGATAAATTCAACACTGCAAGAACCCAAGAACCCACCCTCGTCATCCCAAGCAGCCTTGGTCAACCAGGAGGGTCAAAATGGCCGAACTCACAATTGTAAGGACCCTTGGGCCCAAAAGACTCAAACTGTTCCCAGATAACAAAATAAGGCTATGTTCCAGGCATCTCCACAGGACTTGAATCAAAGCTGGAGTCTAACAGGGAACAAATTCGAGTGGGTTCAGGTCATCCAGAAAAAGGCCACCAGGCAGAAACCAATGAATGCAATAAGAGCAGAGAAGTATTGTGATTTCATTACCCTTACCACCACAAAGTAGATCTTAATAGCAACTCTCATCTGTGCTTGACTGAGTTCATCCTCTGTTGACATCCAGAAGTACTCTAGATGTCTTCTCTCCTATTTCATCTCCCTCAGCATCTCCATAAACCATGATGAGGGAGCGATGAGATCCATTAGAAACAAGAGATCACATGGGGCAATCTGATCTAAGGCTACAACTGGCATCTTGTTCCAAATGGCAACTAAAGGCCTTCACTGGACCATGCAGTAGACCTCCTGGAGCACTCTCCAGGACCCTCTCCAGGGTTCGTGGGTCCATCAATTGTCAAGGGTGCATTGATCTAATAAGTACAACCTCTCAAAAGAAACCAGCATGGCTGCACAAAAAACTCTCTGATAAATTGAAAGATAAAAAGGACAAATATAGAAAGTGGAAAGAGGGACACATACCTAAGTCAGAATATCAGCATATAGCCCGAGCCTGCAAAGATGAAGTGAGGAAAGCTAAGGCTCAAAATGAACTAAGGCTTGCGACCAAAGTCAAAAATAACAAAAAAGCTTCTTTCAACATGTAAAAAACAAGAAAAAAGTGAAGGAAAAGATTGGTCCATTAGTGGGTGAAAGTGGCAAGAAGGTGACAAGCAACAGGGAGAAAGCAGAACTATTTAACTCGTTTTTCGCATCTGTCTTTACACAAAGGGAAAAAGCAGACCAACCTATCAAAAATAGTGCCATAAAAAACAGAATAGAAACACAAGTTAAGATAGGCAAGAAAATGGTAAGTGAGCACCTGTCCAGCCTAGACAAGTTCAAATCACCAGGACCAGATGGATTACATCCCAAGGTTCTCAAGGAACTGGCAGATGTGATCTCAGAACCACTGAACTATATTTTTCAAAGATCCTGGAGCACTGGGGAACTACCAGAGGACTGGAAAAGAGCTAATGTAATTCCCATCTTCAAAAAAGGGAAAAAAATGGATCCAGGAAATTACAGACCTATCAGCCTGACCTCAATACCTGGAAAGATTCTGGAAAAGATAATCAAACAACGAATCAGCAAACATCTAGAGGCAAACAAAGTCATTACTAAAAGCCAACATGGGTTTGTCAAAAACAGATCATGCCAGACAAACCTTATTGCATTCTTTGACCAAGTGACAAAATTAGTGGACCAGAGGAATGCTGTGGATATAATTTACTTGGACTTCAGTAAGGCATTTGACAAAGTAGATCACAACCTACTACTGGATAAGATAGAAAAATGTGGGTTAGACAGCATCACTACCAGATGGATCCGTAGCTGGCTGACCGGCCGTACTCAGCATGTGGTCCTCAATGGAACCACATCTACATGGAGGGAAGTGTGTAGTGGGGTGCCCCAGGGCTCTGTTCTGGGCCCAGTGCTCTTCAACATCTTCATCAATGATTTGGACGAGGGGATAGATGGGGAACTCATCAAATTTGCAGACGACAGCAAGTTGGCAGGAATAGTCAACACTCAGGAGGATCTGGACAGACTTGAACACTGGGCGCTATCTAACAAAATGAAATTCAATGGTGAAAAAAGCAAGGTTCTACATTTACGCAAGAAAAACCAAATGTATAGGTATAGTATAGGGGGTTCCTTGTTCAATAGTAGTAACTGTGAGAGGGATCTCCGAGTCCTAGTGGACAATCATTTAAATATGAGTCAGCAGTGTGCTGCAGCTGCCAAAAAAGCCAACACAGTGCTAGGCTGCAATAACAGAGGGATAGAATCAAGATCACGCAAATACCACTCTACAATGCCTTGGTAAGGCCACACTGGGAATGTTGCATCCAGTTTTGGTCACCACGATGTAAAAAAGATGTTGAGACTCTAGAAAGAGTACAGAGAAGAGCAACAAAGATGATTAGGGGACTGGAGGTTAAAACATATAAGGAAAAGTTGATGGAATTGGATATGTCTAGTTTAACGAAGAGAAGGACAAGGGGGGACATGTTAGCAGTGTTCCAATATCTCAGGGGCTGCCACAGAGAAGGAGTCAAGCTATTTTCCAAAGCGCCTGAAGACAGGAAAAGAAGCAATGGATGGAAACTAATCAAGGAGAGAAGCAACCTAGAACTAAGGAGAAACTTCCTGACAGTTAGAACAATTAACCAGTGGAACAACCTGCCTCCAGAAGCAGTGAATGTTCCAACACTGGAAGTTTTTAAGAAGAAACTGGACAGCCATTTGTCTGAAATGGTATAGGGTTACCTGCCTGAGCAGGAGGTTGGACTTGATGACCTCCAAGGTCCCTTCCAACATCATCATCATCATTATTATTAATTATTATTATTATATTCTTCTCATATAGAGAACACTGTTAAAAAAGTGCTCGATAATACATGATTTTTATTGTTTTTACCTTAACAGAATTGCAGAATGCTTCAAACACACCAACACTTTTAGCACTGAGCTGCAGATTTACAGATCCATCCATTGTTAATGAGATTCCCTGATGCTGGATTGAATCTTTACTTGTTATGACCACCACTCCAGTGAGAACTTCCTAAATGGGGAAAAATTGAGAACATCATATGAATCAGTTTAATGCTACTTCTTATATTTTATATATTATAATTTAAGTATAACAATAATTATTCAAGAAATACCAGTACACTTAGTATGTCAATGTATACTGCATGAACTTTCTTGATTAGTTGGAAGTAGGTAATATTAATATATTATATTAAGCAATATTTTAAGTAATATTAAGTTGGCTTGCAAAAGTACTCTTCGGTTTAGGTATCTTAGTTTGCATAGAATAGTGGCCAAAATGTGCTAAAATGTGCATCAGCATTGTATCCTTACAATTAGCAGAGAATGATGCTAATGCTATGGCATTACTCTAGCTAAATCTGATCACCCAATCTACTCTTCCTTTATTGTATCAGAATAGTTTTATGCAGAAACCTCTTGCATGATGTGGCAGAGATTAATATTAATGGAACATTTGTTGACAACAATAGTATATGGAACATTGCAACTTGGAATGCAAGAGGGTAAATGGCAAAGATCACAAATAAATGAATAAAATGAAAGAATGTATGTATGTTGGGAATTTATTAGTAAAGATAATATTTCACCTTTTCATTCAGAAACTCAAGGTGGTGTACATAATGTATTCTCTTATTTTTTCCCCACAATAACAATGTGAGGTAAGTTGGCTGAGAATGGAATACAGTTTAGTCACATCATTTGTATGCAACACAAGAATATATGTAAATGAAGATGGTTTTGTCTAGATGTCATGCATGTGCATATAATAAAATTATATAAGATAGCATGAATTGGTGCTATCTATGTTGCTATGGATGTATATTAAAATAGGAATTCATAAGGTGGTGATAATTGTTTACTATAATTCAGTAAATAATGATAAAAGGGATTGGAATCCCAAGAATGAATAAGAATGGTATTATTTGATGTGTTTACTTAGAAAAGTCTTTAAAATACACAGTAATTTGGTTTTCTAGTTAAGGCACCAGGCTAGAACCCACAGGTTAGTGCAGGGGTAGGCTCTTTTATGACTCGTGGACTTCAACTCCCAGAATTCCTGATGGCTGGCTCAGGAATTCTGGGAGATGACGTCCATGAGTCATAAAAGAACCAAGGTTGCCTACCCCTGGGTTAGTCAGGTCTAGTCCTGCCTTAGGCACAAAAGCAAGCTTGGTCACTTTGGGCCAGTCACTCTCTCAATGCAATCCACCTCACAAGATTATTGTGGGGAAAATGGGAGGAAGAAGTATTATGCTTGTGGTTTTAAGTTATCTATAAACAAGTAATAAAGGTGGAGTATTAATCAATTAAGTTTATTCATGAGTACAGAAGATAAAGGATTGAATAGTATGGCTGATTTGATTCCTTAGGATGAAAAATGTAGAAAGTTGGTGAAAGCTACAAGGATTATGAAAGGTTCTAAATGTAGGAGAGATCATTGTCAGGCAGCATTAAAACTGAATCTTTGTTTTAAAAAAATGATATATGAAAAAAGGAGAGAGGTTAAACACCACAGTGAAAATCAAATGTCTGCAGGAAGAGAAAATATGAATCCTATATGGCGACATTTTGGAAGACAGATTAATCTCTCATCAGAATGAATGGGAAAAAAAAGAAAGAGAATATGAAAGCTACTTTGAATAGAATGACAAATAATGTTGTTACAAAGTGCCACCAAAGCATTCAGTTACAACAATGGAAAGTATGAAAAAAGGATGATTGATGGAGTAAGGAAGTGAAAAGGCTGTTAATGAGAAAAAATAAATGTTAAAAGAATACTTCATAAAATAAGCATGCTACAGGATATTTTTTTAATGCATATAAAATGGAAGGTCAAAATAATGGAATAAAAGCAAGGCAGGAATGGTTATGATTTAAATAGTTGGATAAAGTATAGAATAATTTTGATGATGAAACAACATTTTTTGGAAGAGAGTGAAAAAATAAAGAAACCTGTAGAATTAATATATTTAATATGAAATAATATTTAAAAATTGTATGGAAACAATAGTAATGTCAAAAGAAGAATTGAAATAAATGTTATAAGTATCTAAGAAAAAACAGTTGAAAAAAAGTAATAAGTATTATGAAAATGATAAATTGCAGGCAGAGATGGTATAACTGGAAAATGATAAAATAGAGTGGTTTGCTTATGAAATGATTGTGCAACGTTAAACATTTATGTGAAAAATGCATTTGAACTTAGTGTTTGGAAAAATGTTTTTCTTTATTTTCCTATTTTAAAAAAGGTAAAAGGCAGGAATGGCAAAACTACTGGAGAATTAGTTTAAGCAGGCATGTAAAGGTGTTTGGCAATATTTTGACTGAAAAGATATCTACGGGGACAACATTTGAGAAATGCAATGTGGTTTTATGCTAACAGGATCTCTGGCAATGAGATCTATATGAATTTGAGAAAATTTACTATACAATTCTTTATCAGAAAAGTATACAATAACATGTATATTCTTGATGACAGAATGATTTGCAAGAATCCTAAACAAGGCAAAAATGATTGATGTGTGATGAAAAGAAAACATGTAAGGAAATAAATTGAATACTTAGAGAATCACTTCAAACAAGAAGACAGAGATGCCCATTTGGTTGTTCACTGTATATATGAATAAATATTAAAAGAATGTGTGTGACATTAAAAGTGTATTGGCTATGGACATGAATATGTGTGTATGTTTATCTGAAGACAATGCCAAGAACAAAAAGGGTTTCAGAAAAATATCACATAGATAAAATACACCATGGAGTACATATCTGAAAATTAATAAGAGATTATAGTTGTGCTTAACATAAATTATTCAATATTTCCAGTAAACCTTAGAAAGTACAATGCAATGAAATGAATAGTTCTGAGAATTAAGTGTGCAGTTCAAATCTATATATTGGATCAAATCCATAATTCGTATTTTAACAAACCATGCATACCATTTTAGTGTAAAACTGTAAACAATTTAAACAATTTACTCTGAAATTCTTTTTAGTGTAAAAACTGTAAACAATTTAAACAATTTACTCTGAAATTCTGCTCCTATATCACTCATATATAAAATAATGTAAATTAATATAAACATTAATATAGAACTGCAAATAATTATCAAGGAAATATTTTGAATTGAAATGTTAGGATTTTTGGCCAATCCACAAAGTCTGGGATTCAAAAGGTAGGGACACAAAAGAGTTATCCTTAGGAGAATTTTCTTTATTGGTTTTATGGGGGAGGAAATGTATTTTCAAAGACAGTGAACTATATGCAGTATTCATTTTTATACTACATTTAGTAATCTCATTGCATTATTTTAAGAACGCAAATGCAATATGTATTTTACTCACACAATTATCATGGTTAGTGCATTTATTAAATATAAAAGTATAATTTATTCAAACACTGTTTTTGTTCTTTTCATTTAAAGTTTATTTTTTTCTAATAAATAGAATTACAAATTTCAAGATTCTGAGAAACCTAAGTATCAATTTTATCATTTGGATAAGCTGGGAAAAAAATAACTTCAAGACATAATAAGCAATCTTCATGTTAATAATTAGTTATTTTCTTTCAGCCTTGTCAAGAACAGATTCATCAGTCCCTAGACTGGCAACAGAAAAATCGTAAACAAAGCAGGCACTGAATCCTCCTTCCTTTGGTGGAAAGCCCAAAGGCTGCTGAGGGCAGGAAAGCCTCTTCCTCTTGCATTGCAAAATTGTAGCCCAGTTTCCCTATACAGGGAAAATAGTGCTTCATGCACTAAATAAAATGTCTGTTTGGTATAAGTTAATAGAAAATATTTGAGAAGGAATAAAGGAGCACTTCACATGGCCTTTTATGGCATTTATTTATTAATAAGTTTATTATTATTGGTCCAAAGTTTTTCAGTTCTGCCAATTTATTAGCAATCGCCCCCAACTGGGTCTTTTTCTTATTTTGCAAGGGATGAGGGGAGTCTGAACCTTCACAACTCTATCTTGGCACAGAGAGAAATATAACTGCTTTCCAGCAAGACTCAATGCCAGTGTTCTTTTCAGTCTCGGCAACTTTAAGATGAGTGGACTTGTTCGTTGAGGAATTCTGGGTGTTGAAGTCCACAGAGCTTCAAGTTGCCAAGAGTAAAAAACACTGCTTTACACAACAGGCTCCAATTTTGATCTTCTAAAATCTTGAACAATCTTTGTTACCAGGAACAAAGCCTTCAATTCCAGGACTCCTAGTATATGTTTTTTCTTATGAATACAGGAGTTGTTCTCCTGTCTTCCAAGGCCATTGTTGCACTTCATAAATTCAATTTATGACTCTGGAGAAAAAAGAGAGCCTACAAAATGTTAGGGTTATCCCCAACTTAGTTAATTATACCAAAATGCTACAGTTTAAACAAAATGTATAACCTAATTCTTACAAAACAGATATTCAGGTGGCAAAGCGATGTTGTGTAAGTCTCCTTTAGAATGTAGCTAGGAGGTTACATACGGAACTGAACGTCCAGAAAAAAAATCCTGCACACAAGATGTCAGGAAGACGTCTTTTTTTTCCTTCATGAACGTGTCCGTTTTGGTCAGGCGGGCATCTTTAATTCCTCTCCCTCTTCCAGGAGGATTCCAGCATCATCCGACCGACCGCGATCTCATCTGCTATTCCAGACGCTGACGCCCAGATTCCACGGCTCCAGAAACTTGCGATCCTAAGGACGCTGCTTCCCCAAAAAAAAACAAAAAAGAAAAAAAACGCGACTGGGAAAAAAAGAGATCTGAAAAACGACCCTAAGCTCATACGCGCCGAAGTCTTCGGAAATGCAACCAGTTAATCCCAAGGAAGATCGTGACCAGATTTCAGCGCTCTTTTCCGCCCAAATAAAAACATCCCTCACATTCCAGCGTCTCCACTTCGCCAGATTTGTACGGCAGCCCCGGCAGAGAATGCTCACCCCGCAGTGGTACACCTTGTTAGCTCGCTTGATCTTGATGTCCACCGTGGTACCCATTGCGACGACTCCCAACCTCAGGGGGCCACTCAGATCATGTGGCTTCCCAACCGGCCCTTTCCACGTGACTTCAGCCAAATTTTTTTTTTTTTTTGAGCGGGAAATAGGAGAAGCTTGTATGGCCGAAGTCCGTTTTCTTTGATTTCCTTTCGCTGCTGACTCCACTCTATGACAGGGCGGGGCGCACCGACTGTCACATCTGACTCAGTCCCGTTGCTCTTAAGGCGCCATTTATTTTTCAAACTGGGCTGGCGGGCTGCCTCATTCCGGTAGTCCCCGCTCCGCTTCGCCCGTGTTTCGGTCACCTAGATCAGCAGAAGACGTGGAGGATTTTATGCGCGCGCGCTTTTGTCTCCCCTGGAATTTCAACACGAGACTCTAAATGGGGAAAACAAGGACGCCAACGAGAAAGAAAGCAACACCGTTACCTCCGCCCCGAAAACCCATTTGGCAGGGAACCCCATTTCCCAGCAGGCATTGAAAAGGAAGTTATACCTACCTGACGTAACCCGCATGCGCCATGTAGGTGGTGGTTACGCCCATCTGAATGCCGTGTTTCGTTTTACTTTTAGATGTGTGGATGGCGGCTAATGTAGGTTTTTGTCTGCTAAAAAAAACTACTTATTTTTGATGAAAAACAAACCGGAAGCGTGTGTAAGATAATTACACTTTTGGATTTTAAGAGTGGCTATCAAAATAACAGTATCGTAGAATCTTAAAAACGAAGGCGATTGACATTTAAAAGCGGGTCCATTGAAAGCAGATTTCTTCGGAAGTAATCGTGGGCAGGATTACGCTGTGAAAGGTTTTAGCTGCAGCCTTATATATGGATTTACCTAGAAACAACGTTTGTGACGTGTGCTATTTCATGCAGAAAGGAACCTAAAGGCAACAAATTTTTTATAATGTGTTTAAAGGATTTGAGAAAATCCCTTTGCTTTTGTTTTTTCAAGAAATCTGATTAATTCCTACATTTTATTGTAAATTTCTCAAAGGTCTTTTCTGGATGATTGATAGAAATGAATTTTCGGCTTTTGTTCTTTGTGCATTTGCAACCTAATCCATTGATACATAGCAATCTTAAGTGTACAGGAAGTCTTTGATTTTCAATAGTTTTTTTAATGACCAAAGTTACAACAGCACTGAAAAAAGTGATTTATCACCTTTTTCACACTTAAAACTGTTGCTGTATCCTCATGGTCATGTGATCAAAATTTTGATGCTTGGCTATTTATGGCAATTGCGGTACCCCGGGGTCATGAACATTGTGATCACCTTTTGCAACCTTCTGACAAGCAAAAACAATGAGAAACCAGATTCACTTAATATCCACCTTACTAACTTAACAACTGCATTAATTTACTTAACAGCTGTGGCAAGAAAAGTCACAAAATGGGGCAAAATTCACTTAACTGTTTTGCTTAGCAACAAATTTTGTGATAAGTTGAGGACTACCTGTATAACTTTTTAAGAGTGATAGGACATGTTCTAGCAATTTTGAATATAAATTAGAAAACATGTTGGACAGTTCAGTGGGATGAAATGGCTCATAAATGAAGAACGTTCACCAGTTCATGCATTGAAACAAAAAATGACACATGACTGGATTCCAAATATCTTAAGGAATATTTAGAATGATACTTATTTATTAGCCAATATGTATTTTAGTAAGTTTTTGAAACATAGTAATTAATCTTAAGAGTTCAGTAATTAATCTTAAGGGTGACAATGCCTTTATCAATTCAGCTTTCACATAGAAAAAAACAAATAAACAGTTGCTAATGTTGTAAAATAGTTTCCTGTCCAAACTCATATCAGTACGTGCTGGCATTTCTAATGATGGAAGTTATCAGCTAAAAAATAAGACTGCAAGTAATAGACCCTATAATAAATCACACAAAATGTATAATAAACTCACAGTAAGGATCCTGCTGGATTAGGCCAAAGTTTAGCAGGCATAACAGATTGCCACAGTGGGCATAGTTATCAATAAGAGGAGCAAGTGATTTGCTTTGATAGCTGGTGTTAATCATTTTTTTTAAGAAGTCTGTCTTGGAGAGCAGCCATCTTGGATAGTTTTCTAAGCCAAGGCCTTTCAACCAGTGGTATGGGTACCAACCGTGGTACATTGGCACCTGGCAGATGGTACGTGACTATCCTAGAAAAGTGGTAGCGGGGGAGGGGAATGAGCTGAACTGGTGGCAGCACCGCACAAGCCTGAGCGAGAGATGGCTGGAGCTGCAGGGCTGTCAGGGCTCAGCAGAAGTGCCAGGATCAGTGCTGCTTTCCAGCTGATCGGCACTTCTTTGGGGCTGTCAGGGCTCAGTGGAATCGTCAGGATCAGCACCAGGCTCCAGATGGAGCTCAGTACTGATCCTGGCCCTTCTGCTGAGCCCTGAAGAAGCACCAATCAGCTGGAATGTTGCCTTATCTCCAGGGTCTTGTGATTTACATTCAGATGCTTGGCAACTGATTCATATTTATGACGGTCACAGTGTCCCAGGGTCATGTGAAGTGACCAAAACCTGCTGCAACCACCCAGAAGATGGGGGGAATAAAAACCAAACACCCCACCCCACCCCCGCTGCCAATCCTCAACAGAAATGCTTACAACAATGAAAACCTCAAGCAGGACGAAGAGTGCCGCCGGGCGGGCAGGCAGGTGTCTTGCTTGGCTGTGGCTTGGGGGGCACTTTTTTCAGTGCCATTGTAACTTCGAACAGTCACTAAGCGAACTGTTGTAAGTTGAGGACTATCTGTACTTTTATCACTTTTTTCTTTTTTTTTGTTACCAAGTTTTTGACACGTTGCTAGGCGAAAGGTGGTACTCCAGCCATATCCTAAAAGTGGTACAATGGGTGAAAAGGTTGAAAAGCCCTGTTCTAAGCTACCTTTATCTTGCGTATAGGCTGTCACTTCCTTATTTTTAGATAGAATTGTTATGGGGGAGCTAAAGATCTGAGGAATTTGTTAAGAGAGATTTTCTGTTCCTGTTTCATACATGGTCTGGATACAATGAATAGGTTATAAATTACATTAGTGTTAGGGTAGCAGGGAAGAAAGACTACACCCTTGGTTTTGCGCATCTTTTTTTAGTATAAATTTGGGCTGCAAAAATTTGGAAGATCACAGAGATTTGCTGCAATCTAATAGTCTCCCGGATTTTTTCAGTCCAGGTCTGGTAAACTATACTCAAGTCTCCCACTACTGGTGATCGTAAGAAAGGGATAACTTTAAAATTAGAATTTTGTTTGACACAGTAGTCTGAATACTATGTTTTAGTCCTTTAGCCAAATAAACGTCATTGGTATTTAGAATAATGCCCACAGGATTTTTCTGCTGATATAAATGACTGGTAGGGCAGACTATACCCACACATCAATTTAACTTTTCTCTGTAATAGGAGTAGGGAAAACAGCCTTCTCTTTAGTTCAGCTACCATAATATTTAACAGGCCAGAATGGATTAAATGTGATTAATACTCATTATAGTGTCTAAAACAGAGGATCATTTAGTAAAGATACTGGTCTAGAAGTAAAACAATACATTGGATTCAAATATGTTGCCTAATCTTCTAATCCTAAATATTTTAATCCTATGAGACGAAATATTAGCTGAACTGTAAAATCCATTCAGAAAAATAATAAAACTATTATAAAATAGATGTAAAATAAAGAAGGATCTCACCAAAGCAGAATAAAATTGAATTATTATTGGCTGTCTTATGTATCTTGTTCAAAGGTGGGACTTTTCAAGATTACATTATTACATTACTGTATTTTCCCGAAAATAAGACCGGGGTTTTTTGTTTTTTTTTGTTTTGCCTCCAAAAGAGGCACCATGTCTTATTTTGGGGGGATGTCTTTTATGCTCACCTCTGACACCAACAGCACTGCCCAGCCGATCCACTTCTTCTGTGGCCAAAGGAGCAGCTTTATTCTGCAGCTGCATTCTGGCCTGCATTTCGCAGTTAAGCCTTTCCGGAAGGCCACTGAAGCCAAGAACTGAGCTGTGGATTGAATCCATAGCTTGGTTCTCGGCTGCAGTGGCTTTCTGGAAAGGCCTGTGACTGAGAAATGCAAGTCTAGCTGCAGAAGATACCGCAGAAGAAGTGGGCCAGCGAGGAAAGGCCTGGCTGCAAGGTAAGTGGGTATAGGATGTGTGGGGTAGCTCCACACCCCCACCCCACCCTAGCTTGTTTTTTAGGTGTGTACCTTGCCCCAAAACTAGAGCTTATTTTGGGGGTAGGGCTTATATTAGGCCCACCCTCAAAATCAAGCTAGGGCTCATTTTCGGGTAGGCCTTATTTTCAGGGAAAGATGGTACTTAGTAAGCATTGACAACTTCCCAGATTCAGCTCTTAATTTCTCCATCTGCTGAAGGAACCAGGTCAACTCTAGTGTTCAACTTCAAGATGACAGCTTCTGCTATCCAGTACCCTATTCACTTCATCAGAATTCAAAGGGTGAAATTAAACTCAGAGCATCACAAGTCTTTACCCGTTATTTTCATAGATCCTGTGCATGTGGAATATCCACATTTCCAAATAGTTGACATTGAAGAATTGTATCCTTCTCTGCCTAATAATAATTTATCCAAGAAACAGTTCTTGCTGATGTTTTTTTGGTCTTGACAATCTTTGTAGCATATTCATGTGACAAATCTTTTTTTATCTTATGGGCAAAAGAATTAACCTTGAGGAAACGGAAGAAGAGCCATAACCATGCAAGGGTCAAATAGAAGAGGGCTGAGTCCAGGGCAGAAGTGTCTAACTCGAATAAGCATCTTAGACAAGACCCACCTAGTTCTCAAGAAGATGAAGGGAGGGAGAAAGCATATCCAGACTTGCAAAATTCTGTTTATATAACCTTATAATAAAATATATATTAGCATGTATGATTTTGGTTTCCCAGCCTGTTCTACTGTGAAGGGCTGACACATATTGCTGAGAGAGAGCTCCTTTGCCAGGGTTCTCATAACACTCTTACTTGTCTTGCTATTTCAGTCTCCCTTCTTCTTATGCTGATGCTGATGTAAGTCTCCTTTTGTTTTTTAGTATGTTTTTGAATTCCTCCATAGTATTTTACCGCTTAATAGTGTTATGCAATCCCAGCCAGTAAGACTGGATTCAAATGCATATTTCAATGCCCCCCCTCCACCCCTGAGTTTAAAAAGTCTCAGATGCTGTCAAAAAATGGGATATGGTATCAAAATCTGAGTTAAATAGTTCAGTGATTATCAGTAATAAATTAAGATTTTTTTAAACCTACTTTCCAAATGCAGCAAGAGCTTCGGGAATTAAAATATGAAAACAAAATAAACTGTAGAGGATTGAAGTCTGAATAAGAATGAATAAGGTCCAAATAAATGGTTTTTGATCATAATATAACATTATCATTACAATTTTAACATTCTGTATTGCTGGATTTATTGTTCTTATTTTATGTTTATATGTACAGATGTCTATGTAATGTAAGCTGTGTAATATAAGAAAGTTATTTACAGCCTTCCTCTTCTTGTTAGCTGGTTATAAAAATTGAATTTTAGTCACAACTTTTTTGGGGGGTCATAATGACTGATAAGAAGAAAGCTAAACAGCTTGATCTTCTCAAATAACCTTCTGTCTGAGTTTATTACCCAAATATGGCAGGAGGTAAATAAGCTATCATCAGAAAAAAAAGATAGATATAAATTTTAATAACTTAGATGATATTGAGACTGGAATGGCTGCATTTAAAATAAAGAGTGAGTGAAAATACTTGTTTGATATGTTAGTCAAGTGGATATTCTCATTTAATAACTGATTATTTCAGAAAAGTTTTGGTAACATATATTACATTGTAGTTTTCTAGCTGCTTCAAAACTATTAAGGTTAGAGTCTTCAGCTATTAGCAAGAGGAAGGTGTTGTTAAGATAATTTTTAAATGGTACCATAGTAATTGAAAATATTTCTGGTAAACAGAAAATTAGATGAAGAAGTAAATGGAAACTTGGGATATAGGTAGACCTCGACTTATGACCACAATTGAGCCCAAAGTTTCTTTTGCTAAGCGAGACAGTTAAGTGAATTTTGCCCGATTTTATGACTTTTCTTACTACAGCTGTTAAGTTAGTAATGTGAATATTAAATGAATCTGGCTTTCCCATTGACTTTGCTTGTCAGAAGGTTGCAAAAGGTGATCACATGACCCTGGGGCATTGCAACCATCCTAAATATGAGTTAGTTGCGAAGCAAGTGTCTGACCACAAGGATGCTACAATAGTCATAAGAGTGAAAATGGTCATTGTACCTTCAAATGATCACTAAATGAACTGTTATAAGTTGTTATAAGTTCCCCCATTCTGAACTTTTGTAATGCATATTTAGTTTGTTTGTTTCTTTAATATACTGAATAAATCACCATGTAATCTTTAATATACTGAATAATCACCATGTTATCTCAGATTTAAACTTTTCTTCTCTTTTAAAACCACATACATTAAAGATGCTAAATTATGTAATAATTTTAATTTTGGTTTAATTGTGACTCAAGCTATTATGATTTATAAGGTGTGATTTGTAGCTCTGGATATTATGCAAATGCACCCAGTGGAGGTTTATTTAGTAAAATATATTTAATGTATGGTTTATTGCAAAATGCAAACCATCTAAGCCAGGCATGTCAAACTGCCGGCCCGTGGGCCGGATGCGTCACACTGAAACTGTGCCCACCCCATTGCCGGCAATGGGGAAAAAGTCCCGATACGTCGTGCAATGTCACGAGTTTGACATGCCTGATCTAAGCAATGGTTAATTTAATCATAATTTGTTAAATAAGCAAGAATGATTTTGGGTGTATAGATTGTGCATACCTGTTCAAATCTCATAAATATTTATGGGACATTTTGATTCAGCAAAGAATTAGCAGGCTCATGTTTTAATGCAAATTTAATTTAAAATGTTAAAATATCTGTCTTTTATTTCAGCATTTCAGCCTAACTGTTTAAACCAATAACTATGGCTACAATATAATGAGATTTGTTTGTGGCTTACTATGTATGTGTATACTGTGTTTCCCCAAAAGTAAGACCTACCCCGAAAGTAAGCCTTACCTTGATTTTGGGGGGAAGGCATAATATAAGCCAGTGGTTCTCAACCTTTTTAATGCCGCGACCCCCAACCGGTCGTAAGTTGCGGACTACTCAACCAGTCGTAAGTCGAGGACTACTCAACTGGTGCAGCACCGTTTGCGGAATGGGACTTTGGCGGGTTCAGCAGGGCAGAGACAGCCTGGACAATTCCTATTGGCTTTTGAAAGCCAATAGAATTAGACTCTATTCAAGAGAGTCTATTCTATTGGCTTTCAAAAGCCAATAGAATAAAAGGGAGTAGCACAGCTAAGGAAAAGGGAAAAAAATGGCGGACTGCATTGTTTGGCGGCCCCCATGAAATGGTCGTTCGACCCCAAATGGGGTCCCGACCCACAGGTTGAGAACCACTGATATAAGCCCTACCCCGAAAATAAGCCCCATAGGATTGTCAGCTAGATGTGGGGCATGGCCAGCTGGTGTCGCACACGTCAGGAGAGCCTACAGGGAGAGGAAAATTTCTTCACTCCCCCTTATCTTCACCCCAAGCAATTGCTGCTTGGCTTTTTAAGTGACTGAAAAAAAAGTGACCCCCCCCCCAAAAAAAGATGAAGTTGGAAAGTCTGATTGAGCTTTTTTTTTAAATCCCACAAACTATTTTGGTTTCCCTGCACATAGCAGAGGCTGATAAATAGACGAAAAAATGCAATGCAGCTGAAAAGCAAGTTTAGGGGAGGCAAGGCTTCTGGGTGTGTGTGTGTGGCCATCTCTCCAGCTCCTTGGCAGCAGGAGCCAGGGGCAGGGGCAGCCCCCCACTCTTTGGGCCCTGGTGGGCACTGCAGCTCTCATGCCAGCTGTGCGAGGCAAGCATGGGGCTGCCCCTGGCTGCTTTCGGCAGGTGTCTGGCAGGCATAGGGAAGCAGCTCCATCCCCGCCACCTGCCTCGCCTCACCTCACGGCAGCACCAGCAGACGGTGGGATGGAGAAGATGGGGCTGGCGGTAGCAGCGCTTACACTCCCGTCAGCCCCCGCCCTCTCCGCCTCCTGTACGTGAAAGTAATAAGCCCTACTCCAAAAATAAAACCTAGTGCCTTTTTTGGAGGCCAAAAAAATATAAGACTAGTCTTATTTTCGAAGAAACACGGTAGTACCTTATAAATTGGGTCTTGTTCAGAAAATCACAAAAATGAAATCACGGTTTAACACCACACATAAATGATTTTGTTTACCTATGGATAAATGAAGTAGACTAGAGTTTATTTACCCATTATGTGCTGCACAACACATTGTACTAGAGACTGATTGCATTGGCTGATTTCATCCAGGATCCTAGGTTAAAATATGATTAGCTACTCAAGATTGTATACCAACAGGAAAGAGTTTGGTGGAGTCTGGTGAGTGGCCAAGTCGCTGTCCTGAAATCCAGAGCAGCAGCAGACATGGAAGGACGATCCAGCAGAGGAAGTGCCATGGCAAGACAAGACCCTGCATGGGAAATACCATCAACAAATAGCTGAGGTGGCTGACATTGGAAAATCTTACTAGTGGCTGGAAAGGGCCAGAAATAAATACTGAAGTAATAATGATGATGATGCATTAATAATAGCAGCACAGGATCAGGCACTAAGCACCAGATCCATAGCAGCAAAAGTCACATTAGGTAGAACCCATGCATTGGTGATTCAGTGATAGAATTCTCACCTGCCATATTAGATAGGACCTGAAGTGAAGACTATGCAGACAGTCCAACACAGTGGCAGGGTACAAGATGCAGGCAGGAACAGAATACACTAAATGGTATAACCAAGTATGTGGCATTGTGTACAGGTACATTGGTACAGTATATGGGTTAGACCTTCCCAAGCCCAGATAAGAGATTGCACAGAATGTCATGTAGAACAGAACTAAGATCCTGTGGGACTTCTATATCCAGATGGACAAACAGCTACTGGCCAATGAATCAGACATTGTGGTAGTATACAAGGAGCAGAAAATAGTGGTGGTGATGTAGTGTTGCCATGTGACAGCAACATCAGGAAAAAATATGAGAAAAAGAATATGAGAAGTTGAAAAAGTACCAGGGCCCAAAGGAGAAACTAAAAAAGATGTGAACAGTTAAGGCCAAAGTGGTACTAGTGGTGGAAGGAGCACTAGGGGCTGTGACACCTAAGCTGAGAGAGTGGCTCCAACAGATCCCATGAACATCAAAGTTCCCTGTCCAAAAGAATGCAGTGCTAAGAACAGCTAAGGTTGCTGTACAGAACCCGCAAACCCTCAGGACTCTGACTGAGGACCCAAGATTGAGAAGACACATACTACCCACAAGGGGTGGGAAAAGAATTTTTTTTATTTGGGTTACTAGAATTTCCTATACAGCAATATTTTTTATTATAATTTACTTTTAACGGATCTATCACAAGGTTAGAAAGCTTCTAAAGTTACCATTCTTAAGAATAGTAATAATGGAGATTGAACTCAGCACAAACACAGGTATACATTCATTTAGGAACACATGTATCCACATTTTCTAGAAATACGTTAATAAAGATTAGGTTAAATGTATACATATAGCAAGGTAGACATGCAATATTTCAAGATGGAGAATTCTTTATAGCAGTCTGGATAGAATTTAATCCTCTTCCATAATACTCCATTTCATTTTGTCTGTCAGTACTGTAATCAGTAAGCATTCTGTAATCATTCTGTATTGTCAATCACCATTGGGCTGTTTTTGGAGTTCTTCCTCTAGGAAACATTTGCATACTTTGAGTGCACTGTTGTTTCAATGTATTCACAACTGGAAATCTATGTTTTAACAACTGATCTCTCTTTTTCAAAGCAACCATTCATTTATTTGGGCATGAATGGAAACTGCATCGATCTGTCTAATGTCTGACTTGGGAACAGGATGCCTTGGTAAAGCCCCTGGGCATGAGATGCCCTGGTGGAGTTCCTAGATGTGAAATGGAAAGTGTATTGCTTGCCCTTATTGATAACCTATCTTAGGACAGGGATGGAAGGAATGTACTCCTCTTGGATTTTTCAAGGCATCCTTCTAGACATCCTATGAGGGTTACAATTGGGAACATTGCTTTACAGCAGTGGTTCTCAACCTGTGGTTGGGACCCCATTTGGGGTCGAACGACCATTTCACGGGGGTCGCCAAACAACGCAGTCCGCCATTTTTTTCCCCTTTTTCTTAGCTGTGCTACTCCCTTTTATTCTATTGGCTTTTGAAAGCCAATAGAATAGACTCTCTTGAATAGAGTCTAATTCTATTGGCTTTCAAAAGCCAATAGGAATTGTCCAGGCTGTCTCTGCCCCGCTGAGCCCGCCAAAAGTCCTATTCTGCAAACGGTGCTGCACCAGTTGAGTAGTCCTCGACTTACAACCGGTTGAGTAGTCCTTGACTTACGACCGGTTGGGGGTCGTGGCATTAAAAAGGTTGAGAACCACTGCTTTACAGTATTACTGTTCCTGTCCCAAGTCAATCAATGATAATAGGAAGTCAAACTATGTGTTTGGTCATTTGTAGATGCTGCAGTGTTACCTTTTTCTCTGCCTCCATGTAATTTCTACATAAAGCCACTGGAGGTGGTCCAGGGTATACCATTGGTATGCCACTAGCCAATTACATATTGCCACTCTGGGCTGCAATGCACCTGATCAATTGTCTAGATTTGTTAGGCACTGGGTGAAGAGAAACAAACTGAAGTTGAATCCCAGCAGACCAAACTTGTTAGTTCAGAAACCTTCTAACACGCTGCCCTGCCAAAATAACTCAGCACGGGAAAACACATCCCACAAAAGAACAACTGGGCTGTCCTCCTAAATTAACAGCTAGTATGCCAGCTGCAGCTCTTCTTGAAGTATGATAATTAGTAAATATCACTGATAAATACCTTTATTAGCACTGAAGCCAAGTATTGCAACGTGCTTTAAATTGGGCTTAAAATTTAAAACTATCAAGGAGTCATAGCTGGTGTCAATACAACATTCTACACTGGCTTCAGAGTACAAACAGCTAGTTTTGAGCTATAAAGTACTTCATGGCTTGGCCTCTTGAGTATCTATAGGGGTTGCCTATTTCAAATAGAATTAATTCATTTGTTCTGAAAGGGTATGTTGGGTCTCTCCCCCTACACACAGGTGAGATGAGTGAGTTTGAAGTTCAATTTTTTCTAACTCATCTCCTGTATTATAGAACTTACCTCTTAATATTCAAATGATGTCCTAACATTTTTTGGGAAATTGTCAAAAGTTGCTTTTTTGTTGGGGACATGTTTTTGTGGTTTCATATTAGTTAACCTGCAATGACTTTTTGTTAAACCAGTAATGTATAAATATCATAAATTAAGAGATTCTATTTAGAACAGAAATGAGACGTGTGGTCCTCCAGATGCTACTGGATCTGAAAACCTCTCACATTGGCCACCCTGGCGGTGGCTAATAACTTTTGTTAACAAAAGTATGTGCTCCAAGAATATTAAGTATCTATAGAATTATTTGCACATACAAATAAAAAGTTCAATTATGAATGAGTTCCAGTTGTAATTATCGATGCATCTTCCAGACATTCCAAAGTTTTATACCATTATCAGTGGATCTCTTGCAACAAGCCTGAAATTTGTAACAGAAATTATATTGGTCTCCAGCAAAAACAGAGTACCTTAAGCATTCCAGGGCCAGGAAATCATGCGTTTGCGCTTGTATAACAGAAACTGACCGTCACAAACAGCTTATAGGTTGCAGTGGGACACCCGCATGTTGGATTTACGGTACTTAGGTGGTAGTCATACAGACAGAAAACACTGCAATCTCCTGCTCCGGACTTTATCTACACATAGAACGGATATTTGTGCCTGAAGCTATTTTGACTGCTTCCCATCAGCTAGATCCATGACAAATCCAAAAGCAGACGAAAAAAGGCAGCAGCTACTTCTTGTGTGGAAGAGGTTCAGTTCTAACCTTGGAAAATTCTTCCCAAATTAATATTGGAAAGGCTTACTCCTCATTCAGTCCGTTCCGAAAGAAATCCACTTAGATGGCGGAAGCTAACGACCGCAATCTTCCATCAAGCATTAATGACCACGAAAGAAACCGGTCCCGGAATTTATAATATCATAGAATTGGGAACGGAATGAAGCCGCAGTCGCCAAGGCGACCAAGCTCCGCCTTCGGCCATGCCTTTCTCGCCTCTCTTCTCAGCACGGATTCCCGCCTGGCATGGGCGGGACTCTTGTGGAGTGATTGACAGTTGCTATAGTAACAGGCTCTTCTCGTCGCCATTTTGTCAGTTGGGCTTTTTTTAAAATAATTTTTCTTCCCGCCCGAATTATAACTTTACGTGCATTATTTTTCCTTCGGATTTCGGTGACGGAGGGGTACCTTCTCTTTGGCCAGTTGCACCGGGACGAAGCGGGACGACTCCGGGTGCGCGTGTGTGCGGTCTGAAGTGATCCGAAGCGCAGTTCCTGAGAAGCCGGCTCGGCGGCGGCGGCGCTCAGAAGGGGGAGGAGAGCAGGCGGCTGGCTGGCTGGCAGCAAGCAGGCAGGGAGGGGGCGCGAGTGAGTTCCCGGGGGTTCTGTTCGGCGCTGGGCCGCGCTCCCCTCTCGCCCGTGCCGCTCTGACTCTCTCCGCTCTCCCTGGCCTGGGCTCAAGCGGCAGAGCTGAAATCGCAACCACCAAGCTCTGCCCGTGCCCCGCTGCCGATCGCTGCGCAGGTTTGGAACGCGCGCCATTTTGTGAGCGATAGAAAATCTGCCCGGCCAGGAAACGCCGCGGATCCGCCCGCCGGGCCGGGCTGCCCTCCTCCAGGAGAGGGAGGTGCGCGATTGGCTCCGCTTCGAGGCCAAGGCCCTGCTCCCTTTTGCACGGGGCCCGAACGTGTCGAGTGAAGTGATACAAGCCGGGTGGGAAAGACTGCGGAGAAGCTGCTGGGTTGGGCCGCTGGCTGAGGAGGGTAATGAACTGAACCCACCCGCTGCTGCCGCCACCACTCTCTTCCCTCCTGAATCCCGAGACAGGAGGAGGCCTTGGTCAGTACAGGACAACTGCGGCAGCCCGGACAGTAACCAGAGGCGGCCACCGCCCCGATATACGGTAAGTGGTAGGGCCTCTAGCAGTGGGCCGCCGGCTCAATGGCATTGGGAGAGAGGGGCCGCTGCCATCTTGAAGAGGGAGCCTGGGCCGCTCCGGTGGTTAGGCAAACGAGGAGGCCGATCTAGCGGAGGGAAAAGCAGACACCGGTTTCTTGTACCCTTTTATTCCCGGTTAGTTTTGTAGGGAAGTTCTGTTGTAAGTTGTGAAGGTGAGGCTGAGGCCTTTCCCCACCTGGATAATGGATTGGTTTTGGTAACTCGGCTTTGCTCTTACCTGGCCCGAGGTGGAGGAGGAAGAAGTTCTCCTCTTTCCGCAACCTCTCGGGCAGGTAGGCAGAAAAATCAGCAGGTTTGGATTAGCACCTGTTATAAGAAGAGGCGAATGTAGGCACTGGACTGTTAACCTCCTAGGTACTGGTATAATCACGGCAAATCTTCTATTTTTACTCACCTAGGGTCATTGCAGTATAGACATATTGTAGAGTCTTGTCACAGGAAGGGTTTAATTTTAATATACAAAACTAAAAATAAAATAGATTTAGTATCAGTTCTCAGCTAAAAAAGAGAATTTCACTAGAATAAATGCATTCAATTGATTTCTAAATTACATTTTATCTTGAACTACACCTACTCGGAGATAAGCATTGATTTCTATAGAATTCTATAATAAGACATCAGATTATTTCTCCATGGAGACAAGGTTATTTATTATACTTTCATTAACTTATCAGAAAACACAAAATGTAGTTTTATCTTCTGTAAATTATAAATCAATACTCTATGGTTTTGCCTAACTACATATACTGCATATACTGTGTAAATATATATACTGTTTTATGTGAATTCTATCCCTGGATTCCACATAAGCAGAAATTGAACTCATTAAGGATACATTTATCAAGGAGCAAATCTTGTTGAAATGAATGAGGTTAACCTCTGAATAAATCCTGTACGCATAGAATTTGCATATGTCTTAATTTCCAAATCAATTCTTTGATTAGAACAAAAATTGAACCTCTTTCTGTGTAACTTCATAATAACTGATTAGGACTATGGGAAAGCAGTAAAGAGAATTGATTAGGCCGCGTAAAAAGGATTAAATCTCAGTTCCAAACAATTGTATGTGTGTAATTTGTTTTCTTTCTGAATAATATGCTAAAAGAAGTTACTGTAGCACAACAGTCATTTTATGATATCCTATATTACATTTGCTTGAAAGTAAAATTTTGGAATTGGGTACATTGCATTGTATTACTGGTGGAAAAGAAATCTAGGAAGTAGTGTTCTTTTGAACCATATTGTTGGAAAATGTAAGTTTTGTTGTAGTAAATGTCTTGTATAAAATTTTGTGCATTTCAATATTTTAAGTCTAAAGTTGACTTAATTATACTTCTAAAAGTGCCATGTCAGTGGCATGCACTATTGAAAATTACAGCTATTGTAATTGTCAATATCAGTCCTGTTAGTTTAGAGATTGGTTCAACTTGCAGTCCTAAATGTAGTATACTTTATTAGATTTTTAATAAAATTATGAGTTTATTCAACTTAGCTTTACTTGGTTTTGAACTAAATTTATAAATTCTTAAAATATTTGTTTTGCAGAAATGTAAGAAGAAAAAAGGGTTTGCTGCTAGAATGTAAAATCAGTGTACTATAGTTTTATGTATGCTTACTTAGCAATATATCAAACTTTTAAAAGTGCATTTTTATTCTTAGTATTAGTATTTTGAATTGGAGCCTAACTTTCTGCATGTTTTAGAAGTAAATCAGTTGAGCTTAGTGTGCTAACTAAAAAATAAAATATGGAATTGAATCTATAGTATAAAACATAAACTATCTTCCTTTGGGGTAGACTGTTCTACTTTACCAGACAAAAATGTTTTAGTATTGTTTTGAAGTGTGTAAAACAAGGCATGTCGCAGTGAAATGTAAGTAATAACCCAGTTCCTGTTAGATTTCCTAACCAACTTTGCTAGAAGTTGCTTTCCAATTGGTTATTTATTATATGTATAAATGAATGACTTGCATATTAAAAGATTTGTTGCTTATATCTTACATTGGTCAGTTATTTTATTAATGTAAACTATCAAGTACATTGATAAGAGAGATTATTAAATTTTATCCCTGTCACTTTTTGCAAAATATAATGATCTTTCTCTTTGAAATACGTGATACCTAAGTAACTATCAAGATACATGTAAGAATAAGTTAAGTCTTAAGAGTTAAAAGTTCCTTTCTGAGTACAGAACAATAAGATTAATTGCAGAACATAGACTGACCTCTTGTTGATATATTGTACCTATCTGCACTTGTTTAAAAGTGCTCAATTGTAGAATGGTGAAATACAGAAGAAAAATTATTACAAATTTATACAAGATGGAATAGTGACAGAAGTTATTCACAGGCCAGCCTAATAAATTTTTATTCTGAAAGTAAGTCTTATTTAATTCACTGATCTCTTCCCTCTCCCTGTAAAAGTGCATGATTTATATTGAATGTTAACTGCACAATTCTGTATTAGTCTTTTCAGAAATGAATTTATTTGTAATCAGAGAAGTTTATTTTCTAATAAGTCTAATAAGTAATAAGTAATGTATCCAAGTAGAGCAGTTCTAAAATTTCTGTTGGATTGCCCCAATTTGGAGCTGAATTTTCCCATTTGAATTTGGACCCGTTTCTCTAATAACTTACAGGACAAATCTGACAATTCTGGGAAGTATAGGACTGCAATCTAAATACTATTTAAATACTTATAATAATTAAATAGCTACCATTCTTGTATTACTTTCAAAAGTTAGCTTGACAGCCTAATTGGCATGATATGGATTGAGACTTTTATATTGAATTCATTATATTTATCTTTTGGTTCTTATAAAATATATAGTCAGATAAAGTTTATTTATTTTGACATTGAATATGAAAATATGAGGTAATGAAATAATTTAATTTTTCTGTTATTTTAACTTTTGCATGATTACTGCTCTATTTAGAAATATTTTAATGTGGAAGAGTGTGCTATAGCGAATGGGATTGCAGAATGTATGCGTCATAGTTTAAAATTCTATATAAACTTAGTTGGCAGTAAACTAAGTTGAATATACTTTATTGCCTATCTGGAGAATGAATTCTGGCAGGTTATTTATATATTTAATGTATTTATTTATATCCTACCTTTATTATTTTTACAAATAACTCAAGACAGTCAATATATCCAACGCTCTTTATTACCTTCTATTAAGTGGATATAGGGTTGCAACCTTAATGTTTAAAATTTGCTTAGTATGTTTGTAAATAAACCATATGAAAATTTGAAAACTCGGTTTTGTAATGCTGATTCTGAAAGTGGTAAATTATTTTTCACAAATTCTCAACTTTATGCGGTGTAGGAAAATAAATAACGTATTAAACAAGATATTTCCTATTGTCTGATAGTCATCTATTTTAAATTCTGAATTTTGAAAACAGTATAATAATTACTGTTAAGGTTCTGTAAAATAAATCAAGTTCACTAGAGAATCAATTTCACTTTCAAAGTTATTTTTTATATATGTATAATAGTCATTGTTTACTAAAAGCTTCAAATAAAATTCTAATTTTCCTAAAGTCAGAGATTATTCTTCTATTGGGTTAAAGCGAGACTAAATTTCCATTCATTACTTCATTTAAATAATAACTTGTTTGTTCTGAGGATTTCAGTATAAGCAAAGTAAGCTACGGTAATAAGTAGAGCAGTTGTTTGTGGTCTCAGGAATGAAGGAATTTCATCATCAGTAGAGAAACATCCCTTAAACTAGCTTCAATCCTTTGACTCAGAAGTTCTGTATTATCTTATACAGGTAGGCCTCAATTTACAACCATTCATTTAGTGACTGTTCAAAGTTACAATGGCATTGAAAAATGTGGCTTAAGACTGGTTGTTACTAACATAACAACTGCAGTGGTTCACTTAATTTTGGTAAGAAGAGTTGTATAAAATGGGGCAAAACTCTTGTTTTGCAACAGAAATATTTGGCTTTTTAAAAAATTTCTTTAGTTTTATTTATTTATAACATAAAATGTGAAAATACAAAAGCAAATAGTAGGTGACAACAATAGAAAAAGGGAAAACAAAAAAGGTGTGAAGGGGGGGAGAAACAAAAGGCATTGACGTCAGACTTTCTCTGTTGCAGTAAAATAAGACATTAAAATCAAATCTCAACTTTTTACATTTCTATAATAGTATGCGCTAGTCATTTCTGTATCTGCAAATCAGTCTAATCAGTAAAACTCAAAATCATGATATCATTTTTTTTCCACTTCAAGCACAAAGTTCAGAAGCAGCTTCCAAGTAGAAACAAAAGTACTTATGTTCTTTTCTTTTTTATCAGCACAGTCAATTTGACCATCTTTGCTAATTCCATCAGCTTTTGTAACCATTCATCCATGGTGGGAATCGAGGCATCCTTTTACTTTTGTGGATACAGCAGTCTTGCTGTCGTCACCATATATAAAATCAGAGTTTCAATTTTTTCCCCAGTTCTCAGAAATTGTTGGCTTAATAGTTGTAAGTTGAGGACTATATGTAGTAATAAAGTCTTAGTGAAGATTGTACTTTATGTAAATTTAACTGTAATACTAGTTGAGGGAGAAATTCTTCTTTGAGCTTGAGCAGAGATTCTTAAAGAAGGAATTTGCTTGTATCATAATGTCCTTACAAATATCTATGCTGTGGTTCCATTTGAAAAGCTGCAAATTTGGACCATTATGTTTGAAAGGACATTATACTGCTGAAAAGGGTCAGGTGCAATGAATTGCAGTATGTTCCAATAGTATCTGTTATATTTGCATGATTTTGATCAATAGTTTTGGCTACTATGACTAGTAATTAGTAAATACTATTATCAATATTAGTATAAAGTATTAACCATTAGTAATAGTTAAAAGTAGAAGAGAATAGGTCGGAAAAGAAAATTAAACCCTATAATATTTTGATCATTTACATTTTGAATAAATAATTTATAC